TGGGGGGAGGTGGGGAGGAATCACCAGAGACAGAGTGGGGAGTAGAACAAGCAGATAGACTGAGCTACACTGCTGAGGGAAGCAGTGAATGAGACAGGAGAGGTCTGCTGTGCCATGTAGGTCAGCTCCCTGCCCAGGGATGGAACTTGTGCAGCAGTGGCTGTGGACTGCTTCATAATGCAGCCTTTAACCCCTTGAGCCACCAGGGAGGCCCCTACCTGGTTTTGGATTGACCATTCATCTCTGCTGGCCATTGCTCTTCTTCATTCAGTAGTTGCTCTAAACTGTACGCTACGCATCTTTGGTTTCTCACAGCCTACTTTAAAATGACATTATAACAGTTTCACCCCTTACGCCAGCAGCTCCCCACATGAGAACGAGAAGGCTTCCCTTATTCTCTTGCCCTTTCTGGTCCTGTTGTATACATTGTGCTTCTTTCTGCATATATTTTAAATGCCACCGTATTCTGCTATTTTTTTTAAACTGTTACTTATCTTTCACATAAGTTTAAAAATGAAGAGAAATATCTTAACGTTGACCACATCCAGTATTTGTTTCTCTCCATTTCCTTCTTTGTGGCGATTTAAATTTCTGTCTTAGGTCATTTCCCTCAAGCCTTCACCCTTTCTTGTAATCCAAGTCAGCTGACAGTGCAGTCCCTCAGCTTCATCACTGAGTACAGTATTCTAATCTGACGGTCTTTTCTTTGTCTTTGTGAAAGATTTAATTCCATCATCTTCTACCTTGTATTATTTCTAATAAGAAATAGGAAATTTTTTAAAATATTTTCTTTCTTGTAGGTAACATTGCTTTCCTTTCTCTGGCTCCTTGAAAAAAACCTTCTTTCTCATCGGTTTTCAGCAATTTAAATATGTGCTTTGGTGTGCTTGTCATTTGTGTTTGGCACTAACTCACTTCTTGGATCTGTGACTTTGTATTTTTCATGAAATTTGAAAAATTTCAGCCATTTTTTCAACCTCCACAGGAGTCTAATTATATACATATATTAATCCAGCTGATATTGTGACAGGCTGGTGAAGGTCTGTTCCTTTTTTCAGCTGTTTTCCCTTCTCTGGTTCTCCTGCAGCTTCTCTGTAGGACCTCTCAGCCCTGCCAGGGAGCCCAAAGGCCCTTCGCTGGAACTCAGATCTCTATAAAAGCAGTCTATCCTTTCTATCTGATCTATTTCTGTCCTTGTAAAATAAAAAAGAATGCAAGGCATTGTCAACACCAGGATTCAGAGCAGTGCTTACCTCTGAGAAGGTCGGAGAAGGTGGTGGGAAGTACCAGGGAAAATTCAACTATTGACAAAATTTTCTTTCTTCAGTTGGTAGCGAGAACAGGGTTTTTTGGTGTGTGGCTTTGTTAAATCTTTTCGTCTGTTTTTAGTATGATGTAATCTGAAAAGTACAGACATGACTCTCTATATGCTAGAGTCTGAGAAGAGAATGAAAGAATTAAGATATGTGGGGTGCAGACAACCAACTGAGTCTAGAGTGTATCCCCCTGATAGTTTCTCCTGCTTTTGAAAGCTGCTTCTGTTACAGGACAGGGAGAGAGGGGCACCCCTGAAGCCCCAAACCTGCCTGTTCTAAGTGGGTTCTGCCATCTGCCGCATCAAGACAAAACATATAAAACTTTAATGAAAAGGGACTTTAATGCAGTGAGTATACAATACAGAAGACAAAGAATGTAATGTCTAACTCAAACACCTGAAGCTACCTATCCCCTCGTGGGCAAAAGTCCACCCAAAAGGGATTGGCCCAGAGCAAGGCCTGAAAGCCGCCATAAGACTAAAGCACCTTCTGGCCGGGACCCATGGAAAAGGGTCAGAAATGGCCAGACAAGTCTGGGAGGAAAAGAGCAAAATCAAAATCAATATAAACACTGCCATAGTCACCGCCCTACACAGGTATCTCACCCACATCTGCCTTAACTGTTACAGGGTCAGGAAACAAGCACGGTCTCTTCCTCACATGCTTGCTGCTCCATGTGGCTTCCTCAGGTCTCCTTCTTGTTCTCCATCCAGCTTCCTTCTTTTCTTCTACCCCACTCCTTCTCTTTTCTCCTTTTTCTCTGCTCAGCTCCACCCTCCTTCTGGGTGGGGCAGGGAATGTGGAACTTCCCCTTTTCCTAGGGACCACCCCACTACACTTCCTTGGTTCTCTGCCTCTTCTCTGTTTCCTGAGAGCTGAAGACACCCCTACCACGGAGGGACAGAGGGACAGTCTATGGCTGCCGAAGGATCATTTGCTGAGTCGGGTGCCTCTCAGCTGGAACTACCTACTTCTCGGTGTATGTTACTCCTGACTTCATTACCAGCATATTATTAGTGTGCAGGAAATATGGCTAGCGAGGGCCTTCACGCTCAGAGAGACAGCTTTCCCCACCTTCATTTCCTGTTTGGCTGAGCCGTACTTAACACTCTCAGCTCTGTTCACTGTCTCCTTTCGGATCTTTCTCTTCCAGCAGAAATCCTTCCTCCGTGTGCTGACTGAAAAGCCTATTGACTCCCCTCACCCAAGTCTGTAATAGTCACAGCTGATGTTTGTTGTTCTGTTGCCTATTAACACTTAGTCTTCACGACAGCATGACAATGTAGAAACTATTATGCTAGTTCTCACTTAACCTTCAGATGATTGCAGGTGAGGGTGACATCACTACTCGCTTGTGCATCACTTTACAGATGAGGAATCTGAAGTTCAAGAATTTGGCCAAGGTTACGCAAGCAGGAAGTGGCTCTGGTAAAGCTGCAGATAAGCTTTTCTCTTCCTAGATGGTGTGTTTTCAGTGGATGGTTGGAACTGCCCGGTCAACCCGCACAATAATGAGGAATAGTGAGTCACTGCTGCTTTAAGCCACTGGCTTTTGGAGTGGCTTGTTGCTCAGCAGTGTGTAGCTGAAACACACTGAAAGGCAGGTTACAGATGAGTGGTCTCACCATGAAGATATGTATGTACTGCTAAGTGAAAAGAAGCAAACTATAAAACAATGTGGACAACATGACTTCATTGTTGTTAAAGAAAAAAGGCAAAATGCAATCTGAGCCTGTCTGATTGATGCTGTGGCTAATGTGTGAGCAGCGGAAGGGTGAGTGTGATGCCAGCCGGGGGCTGATGAGTTCGGGTCCTATTGCCTGAGTGTTGACGAATAGAACCCAGAGAGAAAGAGGTGTGGTGCCTGGCATCCTTCCCTCTGCAGGGAGATATGGGGGTCACTGTGGAGACCGCAGGCCCAGAAACTGCTCTCCCCTCCCTCCCTCCTCTCCCCAGGTGGGTGAGGACGGCCAGTCCCAGGGAGGGCCAGCTACCAGCTACCTTATTTTCAGGGAGTGGTGAAAAATGAAAAGGAGTGGTTCTTTACTCAAAAGGCATGACAAAAGTCAAGGTAGCAGTTAGAGTTAGGCCAGCTGTGGGTAGGGGCCATGGGTGCCCTCAGGGCAGGACAGAGTACCCTGGCTTCTTCTCCACCACCTGCAAGAAGAGGGCACTAGATAGTCGCAGGAGTGGGATGTCTCTGAGGGGAGGCAGGGGCCTGAGGGGGGAGGGGGCGGTCCGCATCCTATTTCTCAGTGTCTATCAGATGGCTGTCCCAGCTGCTCCAAGATCTGGAGGAAGAGTCGGAGGAGGATGGGAAGGGTGGGGCAGGGGAGGAGGTCTACAGGGCTCCATGTGGCCAGGCCGGGGTGCGGGAGTTCCTGTGAGTCAAGTCAACCCTGAGAGGTACTGAAGGAATTTGGGCCTGAAAAGAGGGCTACTGTTGCCAGAGGCACTGTTTCCCCAGAAAACCCAAGTGCTTCTTGGAAGACTACGGTCACAGGCAGTCTTGGCCATGAGAAGAAAGCTGTCTGCTCTCTCTCCAGCTCTCATCCCTTAGTCCCACCTCAGTGTCAGTCCCTGGAACCTCAGAGATGAAAGCTCTCAGTGGGGGAGGGGGGAGGGGCCGGGCCAAGCTTTTCTTTGCCCCGGTGGAAAGGCAGGATCCCCTTGTATTGGTTAATGATGTTTAACTTTCTAATTGAACTAGACTAACCTGGATTTTTAATAATTGAAAGTGATCAGAGACTAGGATTCTGCCAGGAATATTGTTTGGGGCAGAAGAGATTTGACAGGCCTGGTTGAAAGCTGTGAGCAAAGACAAAGCAAAAGCATCTCCTGTTTGAATCCTGTCTTATCTAGGCTTTTCCACAGCCTGGCCCATGGGAATAGATGGGTGTGTGGAAGACAGCAGTGAGGTGCTGGAGTGTTGTTCTACTACACAAAGTGCCTTTAATGGAAGGAAACATGAGGTCCTCTGTCCAGTCTCTTGAGTCTCCAGCCCATCCAGAGCCTGGCCATTTACTGGCTGCCTCTTCCCAGGGGGGCCGCACCCTGTCAGCTCTGGAAAATGAGTTTCTTCTCAACTCCCAGACTGTAATGGCCATGAAGGCCCAGGATCATTCATTTCTGATCCCCACAACACAGGAATGAGTCCCCCAAAGCCTGTTACATGGAAACCCTACCTCAGAGCCAAAAAAGCCTCCATCCCCTGAGATAGGCAGGTTGGGGTAATTCAGGTGTATATATATATGGGAGGGGGGGTTGTGCCGGTGTGTGTGGCAGTCGGGGGGTGTCTGGGGATTGTGGGGGGAGGGTGTGGTGAGACGTATGTGTGTGGAGAGTGTGTGTGGGGTGTATATGGAGAGTGTGTGTGTGGGTGTGTGTAGGGTATATGTGGAATGTGTGTGTAGAGGGTGTGGGGGAGCTTGGGGTGTGTATGTGAGCTCATGTGCTTCCCCTCTCTGTCTCATACACTCTCTCTCTCCAGTCCTGCTCCCCTCCTTGGCTATTCCAGTGGGAATGAGTCAGCAAGAAGGCAGGCCTGCTTCCCACTCTGGCCATCCTGGCCCCTGGCCCCAGGCTTGGATCTCTGGGACCCACCACAAGCACAGGAGACCTCTCTGGGGGACAAGGGGACTTCACTAGCCTTGGTGCCCTTGAGCAGAGAAGCTGGACAGTCCCCTCCCATGCAGCACCACCCCTCCTTCGCCCCACTCCACGCTTCTCCCCCCAGAAGCTGACTTCTTTCACTGCACCCACAGGTCCAGGGTCAGGCCCAGGATCCAGTGTCAGCAAGCTTGTTTCATCTCCTCTCACCCAGGGAGGTCAGTGCTTTTGAGTGTTGTGTGAGTGCGAGAGGCCGAACCACAGGCGGGTCACTTCTGCCGGTGGTGCACACCCACACGGCTAACGGCCCAGGCAGGTGCTCACTGAGAACCGAGATAGCAGTGCCCAGAGCCAACGACCCTGTCACCCAGGAGCACACATGAAGTAAATCTTGTCGCACGTGCGTGATAGGATACTGGGCCCCTGGGGAGGTGAGCAGCCGCTGGGTAAGGCTGGGCAAAGGTGGCAGCTCAGAGGCAGGAAGACCCTCGGAGGCCAGCTCTGTGGGCAGCCTGGACAGCACTTGCACAAACAGAAAGTAGAGCAGAGTGTGGAGCAGTGTGCCGGGGCTACAGTGTGAGCACTCGCTCGGGTGCAAGGAACAGCTGGCGTGTCGGCCGTGCTCTCCAAACCTGGGCTGTGGGCCTGCTTCACACCCCTCTGTCTATCCCTATAACTACGGCCTTCCGGAAACGAGACAATGTTGCTTGAAAGTCATGACCGCTATGTAAAAGCAAGCGCTGCATCTGTCTGCCTTCACGGTACAGACTCAGCTGGAAGAGCGTAGCCCCTAGAGGAACTTGGACCAAGGGGTGTGTACATATGTGCCTGTGTGCACGTGCGTGGTTGGAGAGCTGGAGAGGGAGGAGCCGGGTCCTGGGAGGTCAGAGGGGGGGTAGCTGCCTAGGGAGTGTGGGGCAGAAAGGGCAGGGCGGGCTGGCGTGGTGCCCATGATGAGTCGCCTCCCCAGCCACAGGCCAGACATGTGGCTGACTGTTAACATTGGGTTTCAGGTTCAGGTTTCCTCCCCTGCTCCAGACTTGTCCCTGAAAAGCTGGCAGGGACAGCTACTGCTATGAACAGTCTCTTGCCCCAAATGCGTCTTCCTCTGCCATCAGGCAGTCTGCCTCCAACTCCACAGTTAGAATCCTACCCGGGATGGGAAACTCATGTCACAGAATTAGCATTGGTGAGGCGGCTCCAGTGCCCATATGAGCTTGTGGCCAAAGCCAACTGCCAGCGACTCTGGGGCTCAAATGGGATGACGGGGCGAGGTAGCTAAGGCGCAGGGCTGGTGTGAGGGTGAGGGAAGGCAGGGTTAGTGTGGACCCCTTGCCCACACCACAGGGCATCTGAGGGCTGGCCACCCCCTTCTTACACGAAGAGGTAGGGAGTGGGGAAGTATTGTAAAACCATGGAAGGAGAGAAAAAGTTGGGAAGGGGGGTCTCATCCCCCAAACCACACCTCCTAAGTAAGAGAGAAGGCCCAGGTCAGGATAATAACATTAAACCGCAGCCTGGAAACCTCTTTGTCAGACTCACCAAGGCAACCGTGGCTGTGTGCCCTGCTGTGTGGCAGCTGAGGTGCTGGGCCTCCCCCACACTCCTCCCACACCTCCACTTCAGCCACATTCCGCTCTGGAAAGGGAGTGTGAGGGGTGCTGGTGCAAAAGGGGGTTTGTCTCGGGTGGGGAGGGGCTGTTCTGGCTGGACTGACTGTGTTGGCAACTACAGCGGAATGCAAATGTCATTTATATGCAGAGAGGAAATTACCCCATATTGTCTCTGTATCACTCTTGCTTTGTGGTTTTATGGTTGTTGGATTGTTGTCCTGCTTAGTTGACGCCAAGGAGCCTGCCGGTTAGAGGCTTCCCCTGTAGGCAGATGGTAGTTCCTAGGCAAGCTGTGGTGGAGGATTTTCGGGGATGCCCTCAATCACCATTCTCTTTGTATCCCTTGGGAATTGGACCCACCAGTTTAGACAGTCCCATGGCCACCTTGAATAAAGACTCATTGCCTGACTTCTAAACATGCATCAGCTATGGTTATGTGACCAAGTTCAATCCAATGGGAAATAACTGGAAGTATCA